CCCCCCTGAAATTCCCGGCTCAAAAAACCCCTTCTGAGTGGGCCTTCATTTCTGGGGGGGGGGGGGCGCCCTTAAATTGACAAATCTTGTTTTATAATTTTGCTTGTCGATGATAAAAGTTTTCCACTATCATACTATTACACTATTTTAGAAGTATAAAATATTGCGTATCTAATATATAAGACTATGTGCGAATGATTACTTCTATTTATAATTATCTTTTCTAAAAAAAAAAAGGACTACATTGATTTAGTTAATTTTTCTTTTAATATTAAACATATAATTAGATTCCACCAGCACCACCACGACCAGATTTTGATTCATCTCGTTCTAAATTACAAAAATTAAGTGATAGTGAAGGTTCCTTAACGCGAGAAGAATATGAAAAAATGAAGCAAGAACTAGAAGCGTAAGTTGAAACAATTATTTCTAATGTTTTTTTTTTTTTAATATATTGATTGTTTTTTCTTTTCAATAAAATTTAGTGAATATTTGGCTATGTTTAAAAAAACAGTCTCAATGCATGAAGTATTTCTTCAACGTCTTGCAGCACATCCAGTTTTACGTAATGATAGTAATTTTCGTATATTTCTCGAATATAAAGAAGATGTAAATGCTTTTAACTAATTCTTAAAATTTATCTGTTTGCTTAATTTCTATTTTTCAGTTAAGCGTCCGTGGTAAAAATACCAAAGAACAAATCAGTGGTTTCTTTAAAACATTAACAAAAACAGCTGATGAAGTATTCCTAGCAAATCAAAAGGTAAACCAGTTTGGTTCCCTTTCATCGAAAAATCAAAATTAATTAATTTTCTTGTTTCATCGACACAGTATTTTATAAAAAAAAAAGAAAGAAAATACAACTTTGTATTAGAGAAAGTTATTGTAATAATATAAATGAGTACATAATTCAATAGTTCATAAGATAGTGGCTACAAAATATGTATGCAAGTTTTTATCAATCGTATTGAAGTATTCCTCTAATGGCAGACTATCTTTTTTTTCATTTCGTTTCATTATATCAAGAATTCGTTGATTCCGAAAAATAAGTCTTTTTATTTCGTGAGGACCTACTTATATTGTTAACAAGTTGTTTCACTTTTAGCTGTGGTGAACATATAATCTCTCTTTAATTCATCAATCACTACATAGAGATTATGACTATAGGTGGTAATATTTGCATTAAGTTGGTAGTGCCAGCCCTTCAATTCGGACATGTTCAGGAATAAAACAGCCTAGTACTAACAATAACTTGAACCCGTCAGGTCCAAAATTTTCGGACCCGGTCGGAGTGAGAACTAATAGTCCGATGAGCCCCAACACCCATATTTGCTGATCGAAAGCATTTTTCTGGCTTTTCTACTGATGTTAACGTTCGCTTTAAAAATATTGACTAGTGTCATTACCATTTAGCTTATTTTTTTTGTCTCCAAGATAAGATTTCTTAAAGCAAAATTTTAAAATTGTTCAAAATAAAATTGTGTCGACGAAAAGAAAAATTAATTATGTCGATGAATTGAGAAGATACGTAATTTTCTTTTAGGAAAGTGATGAATTTTTCGAACGGCAAAAACAATTTCTTTTAACATATAATACAAAAATAAACGATACAACAACAGCTGCTGATAAAATAACACGAACACAGAAGAGTAAATAAATTCTTTTAAAATACTTTTATCTCAATCAATTATATCTAGCTGTTTCTGATACTTATATTAAATTATCAAGTTGTTTAAATACTTTAGCAATCTCGGATAAAAATGATTTATCTAAGTAAAAAAGAAAACTTTTACTTTTTTAAATAAATTTCTTATCTTGTTTTTTATAGGTATTTTATTTTAATGGCAGATTTTTTTGAAAAAGCTCGAGTAAGAATTTTGATTTATTTGATATATTCTTATAAAAGAATATATTCATTTGAAGAAATCTGAAACACGTATACAATCTGATATTGATCTTAAATTATCAGATACATTAAAATATTATATGCGTGATACAAAAGCTGCTCTTGATTTAATGTATCGTCGATCACGTTGTTTAGCTGATTTTGATACAGCTAATAAAAATTTAGATCGTGCACGACAAAAAAATAAAGATATACAACAAACTGAAACTGTTCAACAAAATATTAAAAAAAAATTTGAAACTATTTCAGAAAAAGCAAAAGATGGTAATATATAAATTTTTTATTTTTAATTAAAAAAGAAAGATTTTACTTTAAATTTTAGAATTAAATGACTTTAAAAATCGACGAGTACAAATGTTTCGTAAAAATTTAATTGAATTAACTGAACTTGAAATAAAACATACGAAAGTAAATTTTAATTTGTAAATTTTTTAATAGAATAAAAATTTTATTATTCTAGTCTCAAATTCAAACGATCAAAAGTGTTATACAACAATTCGAAGCACTCTCATCATAATTATGCTATTCAGATCTTTTTTTTCTCAATTAAAAAACTGTGATTCGAACTAAGTTTATGAAAAAAAAAATTACTTTTTTTATTACTAGGAATCAATGAGAACCTACTTTTATCAAGTTTTTCTTTGCACTTTTTTGTCTTGTATAGCTTTTTGTTCTTTACTAACAATTTCCATTTTCGTAATCGTATTTTATTAATTCTTCTCAAATTGTAACACAGTATTAAATGAGATCTATATTTCCGAATGTATAAAATAAAATTAATGAAAAAATAATGTGAACATTTTATATTGGTTACTTTTCTTACGTGGATTTGTTTTTCAAGAACGAAAAAGAAACGAAAACAGGACTTTTTTAATTGAACTGTGAAGTCTATTACCTAGATGAATATTCGTATTCTTTGTTTATTTTTATGAATTTCAACTGATAGGTTTGAGATTAATGGTAACAATAACAAATCAACAATTAGAATACTCTTGACTTTCGATAATAACAATACAGTAGTATGATTTCTCTAAAGTAATGAAGGAAAATTGGCAGGTGTCGATTTGTTTTTCAGGCGGAATTTAATGCATAGCGCTGAACATAGTGAATTATGTCCACCAGGAAAAGAAATCATACCTATAACCTGTTTCTGACTAGATCGAAATTTTGCAGTGAATTTCCACTGTAGAATCCACAGTTTAAGTAAGATCATATTGCCGAATTTCTACCTAAAGCTTTACCCACGTAAAATCGTGAATAAGATTAGTTTGCATAAAAACTCCAGAATTTTCGAATTCATTCTCTGTGAGATATGGAACTTTCAACGTATAGACTCTTTTCCATGGGTAGTATATATAGTATGTAGTTTTCGAAAGTTTTATATCAAGGAAAAACAGTTGCGAAATTCTGAAAATTTCCATGCAAGTTGAGCCTAACTGAGCTCTTTATGTGAGCAAAGTTTCACATGAAAATACGAAAATATGGTCTTGCCACAACTTTGGTACTCTAAATCGAAAAATTCACAAAAAAAATTTATTTCCTGGGAAACAGGCTATCAATAAAAACTATTGTATGGTAAACATAATTCACCAAGGTTCACAAGATACAGAAAGTTTCGACTGAAAAGGGAACTGACCACTGCACATTGTCCTTCGTCAGATTTTATGCTTCTCATGTCAAAAAAAGTAATTATTCTCATAATTTTGTCGCTATTAGAAAGTACGAAAATGTACTTTATTCAATACAATATCTTCATTTTACTTCAATGAGACTTCCGTTTTCTATACAAAAAATATATAATAAATCTCGTCACTCTAATTTGAGCAGTTCAAGCTATTGAACGGAATATAAAGATAATTAATACTAAGAAATAAGATACATATTCAACATCATTATCCGATATTTGCTGAATATTTCTAGATCGATTTCAATCTTTATTCGCTTCTGTTGATCATTGTCGAACACCAAATGTGTTGACATTTTCAGGTATTTGATAAATAGCGTTTTTTTTCTTCAACGTATAGCAAGCATAATGATCACAACAATATTATTCGTTTAATTAGAAAGAATATGATCCAAGTAGTTGTAGATATTGCTCTGAATATATTCAATATTGGAAAATCATTTAAACTTTGTCTAGGATTGCAATAAAATAAATATCTTTGCCACATATGTAGAGCAAAGCAGGCAAAGAAAAATTTAGTTGACACATGCAATATATCGATTAAAATGCTTCGAAGATTGTCATCATAATTAAACTCTTCTTAACATGAAAACTAGTGAAGTTTATTTATTAAAGAACTGAGAACACGTCATAGAGCGCGTGTTTAACAAGACACCACAATTAACTAATTGATCGTGATTCAATGAAGTTCTTGTCAAGTAGTGAAAGTCGTCGTGATTTTCCATTAGTATCATTAGTAACCAGAATATTATATGTCATACGAGTGACTAATGTTTTGTGCGAGAAGATTATTTAGTTTATTTGACTCAAAATTTACCTAAAGACGAACGCACTTATCACCAAGTCAAATAAATAATATATTATTTATTCGTTCTTACAAGAACTTCACGAAAACGCAATAGAAAGAAAACTTATTCTTTTTCGTTGTCCGTCTGATCTGATTCTATTGATTGCATTTTAAATCCTGTATCATTTAGTTTGTTTTCTTCACTCTGTAAATGTCAAGCAGTTTTTGTTTATTGATCGTTTCATTACTGATGGAAAACATGTGATAAGGTCTATTAACATGATTATATTGTATATGATTTTTGTATAATCAGTGCGTCTATAGTATTTGACATCATACCTCATGTACAAATAAGTTTTTATTCTTCTCAAAAATGTAATGAAACAATCATCCTGGAGGTCGAATGCCGAAAAAACCATCGTTCCGTGAGGACGAACTTTTTAGTGCTCTACTCTGCGTCTTCCATGAAAGAATGGCTGAGTGATAATGTCCTGCAGCATGTCGGGCAGAACAAATCAAACTCTATAGTTAAAATATTATATAAACTGATGTTAATATTTCATCGTTTAAGTTATTATTGACTTATTTTCAATCGATACAAGTTAATCCTAGGATAGTGTTTTACAATAAAAAGAATTTAAGTGATTTTTCATGATAAGGATGTAGTTGAAGTTTGTAATTTTATTCATTGAATATAGATATTTTCATTAGGCAGCAACTTCTGCTTTAGATTTTTTAAATAACTTCTTCTGCAACTATAATATTGCTAAAAGTATCAACGCTATAGATGTCACACTTTATTTCAACCGCAGAAAAGTTTTTATTGGATTATAAAATCTGTCCATTAGAGACAAACTTTGCTAGTTGTTCTTTTCTTTTCTTTTCTTTTTCTTGTTTATTCATATTTGTCAATGATACATTGAATTTAACTAATAGAATGAATAGGTCTTCATTAGTTCATTCGAATTCCACATTAACATCTGATTTACCACTTCATTCATTAAATAGCAATACTATGCAACAACAACGACAACAACGTCGTCATAATCATCGTTTATCATCATCAATAATTGATTCTCATTTAGTTAATTTATATGGTCAGTTGGCAGCACTTGAACAGCAACAACATTCAAATTCATCATCAGGTGATTCAAATCGTTTAAAATCATTACTTGAAACTTATCATTATAATTGTTTACAATTAAAAGCTCGTTATAAAATAGAAGAAGAACGTATTGATCGTCGTTTTGATTTAGAAACACGTTGTACACGAGCACATTTTGCTACTAAAAAAAGTGAATTAAAAGAACTTTTACTTGATCGTCTTCGACGTAAACGTAAATTAGTTGTTGATGAAATGCGTTCAGCTATTGATATACATTCCCGTTCATTTGATGTTGATCCATTACTTGTTACTATGCAACCACCACATCCATTACAAGCTAAAGCATATAATTTTCGACAACGACCTGATATGGGACAACAAACATTATCATCATCAAATATAACTGATGATGAATTTTCAACATTATTAACAATGAATAATATTGGCACAAGTGGAATATTATCGCCAATGCCACATCAACAAGCAGCACGAAAACGTCTTGTTGGAGCATTCAGTATATTTCAATTACCAAAATGGACTGTTAAAGATGATGAATGTGAAGATGATTTAAGATTAATATCAAATAGTCGAAAATAATGGTAGTTTCATGTATTATCACCGATTAAATGTATATATCGTATTGAAAAGAAAAAGACCTTATGTTTCTTTGTTTTTTTTTTGTAATATAGCATTTTTCTTTTGTTTTGTTTAGTGATTTGATAGTATTTTGGTTCTTTGTTTTATTCTAGATGATAAGTTTTGTTTATTTTTAAAAGAAAAAGTAGAAGTGTAAATATTTATTATGTGCTCAATTGAATCAATAGGACATTCGTCAAATTCAACATCGAATAAATTATCAAATAGAAAAATATCATTAAAACTGATCGAAAAACGTCTTACACATTTACGAGAAGAATTAAAAAATTTAACACAACGAAACATTGCTTATACAACAAGTAATCTTCTTACTGAACAACAGACTAGTGATAATGATGAACATCATGTGCAATATAAAAAACGTTTAAATCAATTATTAAGATTATATGATAAGCAAGTATGAAAAAATACGAAATTAATATTTAGAAAGATTTTTCTCTACTTTCATTTTACAATTACAAAATAACTCTAATAGGAAAAATTATCAATTTAAAAGATAAGATTATAGATGAGAAACAAAACTCATAGATACAATCTGAGAAGACTTTATTAATAAGTTGAATATTAATCAAAACTAATGTGGCTACATTATTATGGTAAATCAGTTCTTCTTAGAAAGTAGATTTCGTTTTAGACATGTGAAACTACGAAGTTTTTCTATTTTTCTTCCTTAACTTTATTGTAGTTGAAAGACTCTAAAGGTGATCAATAGCAAAATAGTATTACATTAGAAATGTGCAGAGTATGGCTTGCAATTCTAGAAATCTTTTTAGAAAACAAGCTGTTATTCTGATGATCGGGGAATGAAAATTTCAAATTTCATAAGACGAATTGGATAGATAATAGAAAAAAAAATTCGACAGAATCTGAACTCATTATTGAAGAGTGTGAAAATATTGACGGTGAGCTTGTAGTATATCTTCAATATTGCATTCCTATTTGACGTTCTCTTAATTATGAATTGTGTTGCGAAAATTTTATTACGATAATTGAATATTCATATATTTTGAGTATCTGTATTTATCTGATCGATCGATTATTTTTATTATGAATTATTTTTCTTAATAAATCGAAGAAAATCTGTATCTATTATTTATATTTAAGGTAAATACTTTAAATATATGGCGTTTTTATCGATCTCATACAATTGAACATATGTATGCCTATGAATTACGACAATCTAATGAAACATTTCAAACAAAAAAAAATGATTTTAAATCAAAATTATTATCAACATATAATGATATACGTCGTTATTTAGATTTTGAACATCAAAACGTAAATATTCGTTGTCGTCATTTTTCAAACAATGATCAATTTATGCTCAATAAAACAAATAATACAAATGATATTATTCTATTTGATGGATATAATCATCATTCAAATGAATCTACGCAACAACAACAACAACAACAACAACAACGTCCAACATATTATCTAAGACGAGCAGTAGTAAATGATTTAGTTTCTGAAAATTCTTCAACAACAACAACACCAACATCATTAAAAGATTTATCTATATTTAGTAGAAGTAATTCTATATTGCCACCATTCGGTGGTATTGAATTACAACGTTGTTTATCAAATACAGACATTGAACAAGATATAAAAGATGTTCAAAACGGCCTTTGTAATATTGAATCTATAACTGAAAAAGAATCGTCGACAATTAAAATTGATGATTTATCAACAAGATCTGTTATTGATGTTCGAATTGAAGAAGGTCGTTTATGGTATCAACGTGCATGGTTTTCACGTAATTCCCCAATACTTTTAGTTTTCGATGATCTTGAAATAGTTCCTGCACTTGTTTTAACAGTTGGTCGTAATGATTTACTTATACGTCGTTCAGGAACAAACATTAAACATCGTGTTAGTCTTTCACTTTTATATGATGGTCATTTAGCTATTCGAAAACGTAATTGTATCTTTTAATCTATTGTACGAATGTTCTTGTTTTCCGTATATATATTTTTTTTTCTTCTACAATTTTATGAGAATACAAGAAAAAAACAAAAGCAAAAAGAAACAACGAAATATCTATAAAATGAATAAATTTGTTTTGAATAATAATTTTTTTTCTTTTGTATTTGAAGATGTCATCATCAGATCAATTATCACAAGATTTTGCATTTTTTATTCGTCATTCAGCAGATTATCGTACATTAACAATTCCAGCTAATCTTGAACGTACATGTTCAATTTGTTTAAATTTATTAACAACAATTCCATCAGCACGTGAAGCTATTTTTGATTATTTTAATTCATTAATTAGTATTAGTGTACATTGTTTTATTCAAAATGAATCATTAATAACAAGTAATATACATATATATATATATAATTTTATTTGATAGAAGAAAATTTTGATACATTGTTGTTTTATTCTATAGGTGTTAGTGATTTATTAACAACTATTGAAACAAAATTAATTTCATTAGCTGTACAATCAAATAGTTGGGCAAATATTCTCGCTCAAGTAAGTTTAAGTAAAAAAAAAACAATATTCACTTTGAAATAGATCCATACTATGACTTTGATGAATTTATCTCGGATTTGATTAGTTTAAACTTGTATCCAAATAGTTTAAATTATCAGAATCTTTTTTTTTTTTTTTATTGAAGTCTCACAATAATTCTATTATAAAATATAAATCATTTGTAGCGAATCTATGAAAGATTTTTGAAATGAGTAGAAGAATACCGTTTGTTCCATCCCGTGGGATATTCGGCATTATTCGGAAAAGTTTCAATACGGGACATTTTGAAAACAAAACGGGATTCGAGATCCGAAAAAGGTTTATCCTGCTGAACTCTAATAGTATGGTATGAAGGAAAGTTAGTTTCAAATGAACGAACAATAAGGATTATATGATAATGCTGTCGTCATATTTTGTGTTTATTAGATGCATGCATGCAAAAAGAAGAGATCGACAGTGTTCAATGTACTGTTCGATGTGATCAAGTTACGATAATTTAAACAGTTAAAATATGTAAAAGCCGATCAATCAACTGTTTGATTCTAGAGTGACACCATGCTGAATAAAAAAAAAATCTCTAGCGCAAAAATATCCACACGAAATATTCACTTATTTTTCAGTCACTAAAAAAAAATTGGTTAGACCTAGCAATAATTTGTTAGAATCAGAACATTCCGCTATTTCGAAACACATGTTCAGATTTTTTTGGGGAGTAAGATTAAACAATTAGCAGTAAAATTTGTGGGAAAGTCCAAAACTGTGTCTGTACAAAGTGAAATAACGGTTTTGGCGCAGTTCTTAATTTATGTCGTTAGTGATATGAACAAACTTCAACTCAATGTTACTATAGAGCACTAAATTTTATACAAAATGAGATATTACGATAAGCGAAATCTCATCAATGTGTATACATTATAGAGCTAGTTTCTATGGAAATCAACATTGATAAAAATATCTCTCTTTCAAAAATGACTTTTAAAATACAGAAATTTTAAAATCTGTCATGCAAAAGTACATAATACGCCTTGTAGAGCAAACAAGGCTATTAAAAATTGTTTCGCATATTGAATTTGACAGATTTCAATCAAAATACAAAATTGACCAAAATAATGTTCTGTACTATAACTATTTTTCACCTTTTGAAAGAATCTCATGATAGTTATTCATTCTTACATTAGAAGAAAATTCTAAACACATTCGAATAGATTGGATTCTAACTAACGGCTTCTAGCTCTAACCAATTGTCTATAAGTGACTGAAAAATAAGTCAAAATTTTGTGCCAAAATTTTTTCACCGGCGATTGAATTGTGGATAAAACAGAAAATGAATCATTAAGAAATAATTTGAAAAAAATCTTAATATTGAAATCTATTTTGTTAACTTTTTATAGTGGTCAATCGATCAATTATTTAATTTAACAAGACGATATACTAATGAATCAGTTATTAAAAAATGTAAAACACTCGAAGATCGAATTCAATTATGGACACAATGTCAAGCGGCAATGACATTAATTAAAATATGTTCAACATGTATTTTACATGAGTATTTATCAAAATTCATGAATTTATTAATCATATTAATCTTTCCTTCTTTTTTTTGTTCTCAGTACAACAGCAGCAGATAATGCATTGAATAAATATCTTGAAGCATCAACACTTATTCGACCTGAATTTGATTGGGTTACAGTATCTTTAAGGTAAGAAAATGTTTTATTCAATTTTAATTATATGTTTTATATATTTAGTTTGCGATGTGGTCAAACACTTATATCACGATTAATTCAATTAAGTTTACAAGAAAAAAACCAATCACAAATGTTACATGGTATTGAAAGAATATTTGCTGTATGGTCATCACTTGAAATTATTGCAACACAAGAACCACAAATATTTCATCAAGTGTTAATGGAACAAATTCAAGTTTAGTTTTTATATTAACAAAAAAAAAAGATATATGAATAATAAATATTTGCTTTTTTTTAAATAGTTATTATTAACAAGTGATGATACTCAAAAACATATTTCAATTGTTTCATTAATACGAATGGCATCAGCTGTTGTTACTGGTCCATTATGTGATATTGTCTATTATTCACTTTATCGATCTCTTAATTCACTTAGTTTACGTCGTTTATGTTCATCAATAAGACAAACAAAAACAATAGATATTGAACAGTAAAATATTTTGGTTAAAAAAAATTTTATTTTAAAGTTTTTCTTAAAGATTAACTGATGAATTTATATCTGGTCTTATACGAATTCGAACTGATGCATTACAAATAATTCAATTTATACTAAGTTTTATGCATGATGATACATCAGCAGGTAAAGAAAAACATATATTTCGATTCTTTTTATTTGATATTATTTATAGATCAAGATGAAATTGAATTAACATTACGTGATTGTTGTAAATATATTTTACAAAAATTATGTCATGAATGTCATTATAAATTTCGTTTACAAAAAGATAATCAAAAACCAAGTATACCAATATTAGCTGCATTACGTATTTCATTTGATCATCTTCTTGATTTATCAATTTATACAAAACATTCTGAAAAAATTGATTTTATTAATGATTTATGTTTTAATGTCGCACTTTATAATGGAGATGAGACTATGCTTAAATATCTTCAATATATATTTACAAGTAAAACTTCAGTAAGATATAATTCTATATATTATTATGTGCTTGTCTTATAATGATTAGAAGATAGACTAACATTTAAGTATTGTTAGTAGAACTCATATTACAAAGTTCAAGTCAAATACACAAATTTTTAATAATGCCAGATATCTTGAATGAACACTATTTGAATAAGAGCATTTTTTGTGAGAATGGCTGTATTTGATGTTTTTATCTAGGTGATGTGAGAGTATGGTAAATTTCAGTATTCAAGGAAATTCAAATTTTTCTATATCATAATATGACAGACGATACAAGCTAAAGTATATCGTTGTAAGAGTTTAGAATAAATCTCAATGATATATAGCTAGCATAGGCAGTGAAGCTACAAAGTTTGGGTAGACTGAAGTCTATCTTAGAATTAGGTATTGTAGATTAGAGTAGGCTCAAATATTTGTTTTCTCCTTCGATTAGAGTGATAGATTAATACAGTGAATCAAAATTCCTCATGATCTCCAAGGGCAAATAGTAACATTTTTCGAAATGCAGCAGACTTAGTAACTGTTTTGAGAGAAAACATTGGATTTTGTATGAAAAAAATGTTTGACCTCATATTGTCAACGATTTGAAGTAATACTTCTTTATTTATATGCTTAAGAGAAATTTTCAACAAAAGTAGCAAACCCTTAATGCAATTTCATTCTTTTTTGTGAAAATTGCTGCTTCATTATAAGTCTTATTTTCACTAAAGCTGATCACTAAGTCGTAACAGCTTGATCTGGTGCAAAATATGAGTTGGAAATAAGAAGCACTAACTGTCTTTCATCGAAATAGCATAAAAAATCTATCGCCTTCCTTTCAATTCTTAATGTCCCGAAGGAGGTCTTATAAAGATTATTGAATCTAACCTAGATTCAAAACATTGCACTGCCTATGATAGTCAGAACTCATTTACATATATATAGAAGCCAATGAACACACTCTCATCTATACTATGTCTGACATGGATTTGAATTAGATTAGAATATTTATTTGTATCGGAAAAGTTGTTATGAGGAAAATATATTTCCTAATTGAATTCAATCCGAAAAAATATCATATAGATCATTTCTATATTCATTTTATGTTACAATCAATTTTCTGTAACGTATCTTAAAGAATCAAATTAAATTTCCATGAAGTTTTTCTTATAATTATTTTCTGTGAATTTTCTGGAAATAGGAACTCACCATTTTATGTAGAGAAATGACTTGAGATGTTAATTATCAACCAAATTAAAGATCATAAGTATACCATTTTCACTGCAATTCTACTTCAAGAATTACGATAAATGCATTCCAATCAAACAAATCAGTTAAGTCCTACCAGAAATGCATCGGTAGCATTGTTTTCTGCCAGCCATCGATGAAATTGAATGATAAATTTATAATTGTAAAAAGATATTCGAGTTTCTTTTTCATGAATTTATCTATACTCCATGCGTTTTAGAGAGTAGAATTGATATGCCAATAAAGAATTTTTAATGTCATAATATTATTTGTACTTTATAGTTAAATAAAAATGTCTATGATTAGTATAGAAACTTTTTGATGATTGCTACTTAGATATTGTTCATAGTATCTAGTGAAGAGGAAACATACTCAAATGGAATACATATGATGGTCCGGACTCATATGAAACTTGAGAAGAAACAGGGAATTGTATTTGAATAACAGAGATACGTTAAAAATAAACTGACAACACAACTTTGTTCTTACATATTCTTGATCATATTCTCTGTCAATTGTGAGGAAAAGTCACTGGGGACCAATCTTTCAAGGCTTTCACCATTCTCACTGAGATCTGTTTATGGATCGAATACGAGTTGAAACGGCCAGTGTAATTTGAGTAGTTTCCTTGTTACATTATTTTTTTTTGGTCTACTAAAAATATAAATAACTGTTCATTTTTCGATATTAAAAAAGCGTTTTATTTTTTGCTGTTTTTTAACTTTTTTAGCTTGATATTCTTCAAGATATACATCTTGAATTTGAATATTATTATCCAAATTGTCTTCATGATGTGCTTAATTTAATATTTGAACAAAATGATTCATCAAAACTCTCAATATGTCTTGAAAATCTTTTACAACTAATTCTTATTGATGAACGTCCATTATTAAATAAGTTTGTTTCGATAAATTACTATTATCGTTTTTCGTTATTCTATAATTTATTTATTTTTTGTTCTTTTAGTCGTTCAATTCAATCAACAATATGGTCATTAATAGATCATTTTAGTCGATTATTAAATGAAAATTCAATAAATTCAAATCTTATACTTCAAATATGTCTTCAATTAAAATGCTATGAAACTCAACCAACATATGAACAAATTTTACAAATAGCTTGTTCATTTACAGATATACATATGAAAATAATTGAAGATAGTGATAATAATTTAATTGATAATTTAATTCTTTGGCGTGATGCTCTTTTGAATTTTATTCATTTTAAGAATCATGATTTTCATCTTTTTATTATAATAACATTAATCGATTTTATTATACCAAAATTAAGTGTAAAATATTCAAATATTTTTTTTTTCAAGATTTTTATTTTTCGAATTTTTTTTCTTTTTAGCCTTTTGATAAACTCGATGATGCAAATATAAATCGTCAACCAATTGATACATCTAATTCACTTCTTGAACAAAATCTTAGTATTAATACAATTAATTCAAATCGTGCATTATCACGCTCATTTAAACGAAATTTAGTTAATGATCGATTTACTAAAGTTCCATTTCAAGTAAGAAGAAAAAAAAACAACAAAAAATAATTATCTGAATTATCTTCTTTTATTTCTAGTATATCGAACAATATACAATATTAATGACAAGTATTTTTAATGAACTTATTTATAATGATAATACACAAAAACCACAATTACTTACTTGTTTAGCAACAACCTTAATTGATAATATTTTACCAGATTCAATAACGGATTTACAATTTGATGATGATCAATGTAAAACACCTAATGAAAGGTAAGATTTTGACTGAATAAAGAAAATATTTTTATTAGTTCATTTTTGTATTAAATTAATACATACACAGTAAGATACGAAAAAATTTACTTTTAGAAATTTTTAAAATTTCTCGTGCTAAGACCCAGTAATAATCAAAAATTTTTGAATGATAGATTACAAATGTATTGTAGTCTACAATTAAAAAAATTAATAAAATCCTTGCTCTCTTTCTCTCTCTCTCAATTTGAATTAATAAAATCGAAAAGCCTGACTTTCTTTCACATAATTTAGAATTTATATGCCAATTCTATCTCGTTTTTTTGTTTAAAAAACACTCCACTCATCGGGATTTGAGAATCTTCCTCTCGAAACAAGTCACTCGAGCATCGAACACAAATTTTCGATTGATTTGAAGTCTGTATTACTTGATGGCTCGATGATGGTTTCTTGCCAATGCTACTAAAAAATTGCTTTCCTAGTCTTGATGTTCCACAGGGGTTCACTCTTGAACTTTTGACAATTTTATATTAGATGGCACCCACAGAAATCTTCCTCAGACGGACACTTTCGGACAGCATTACAATAATTGTTACTCCAGTAATGTAATATAACTGATCAATCTGCCAGCAGACGATCAACAATTAAATGATGCACCATTTTCATGGAACTCAACACGACTATAGTAAATGCATAGAGCTATTTCCAAACTTTTGGAAATTGTTCCAAAGTGATCGCACAAGAAGCTTAGGAAACAAATGTTGACCGAATTGATATGCCAAAAAGCAATCTTTCGTTGCATTCTGCTGCATATGAGTTAGGAATTACCAAAGGAGAAAGAGCAGACTTCAAGATTTCTCTAGATTTCAACAAACTGCAGTCTCTATTGTTACTCCCTCAAGAATAAGTCACAATCAAAATTTTCCTAATTTTGTTCTCTTTCACACTTTTCAATTTATCAGTAAATCTTATATAAGTTTATAAGTAAAATCAAGACTCTACGAGAAATAAAATAAAAGTTTACTACAGTAAACATTATATCTATTTTTGTTAAATCAAGTTAAACTTGAACAAAATATTGTTTGAACTTGCCAATACTTGTAAAGTAAAAGCACGAATTGTCAATTTCTTTCATTCTTATCCTTGAAGGTCGCATTTATTAATGTTTCATGCTAATCTCTAAAAGTAATGAGCGACAGATGTAATTTTCACTTCTATCAGCAAACATTCTTTTCGGTCAAGTAACCGACATAAAACAGATGATCTTTCTGAATAAATCTTTGACCGCAGTTTTTGATCAAATAGTTGTAAATTTCGATATTCTCTTCTAATATATTCGTATTTATGTATTCAGTACATATCTACTTGATGAATATCTATAATTTTTGTTTCATTTATAGAAATTTAGCATTAATTAAACGTCTTGATGAACAACCACTTGTATGGATATTACTTGAAATAATAACTACAGGTTAAATAATATATTTAATTTTTAAATTTGATGAATAATCTTTTGTCTTTTGTTTTCTTTTAGATACTAATACTTTTCAATTATGTTTGCCAATTATTCGATGTTTATTAAGTGCTTTAATTGTTCAATGGGAAAATTTTCGAGGTGAAGATCGAGCTAAAACTTATTCAAAACAATTAACACTTTCAACTAATTTAATTATTTTACTTAAAAAAGTAAAAATTCTTTTCAATTTGTCGTTTTTTATTTTATTTTATTCTTATTCTTTTTTTTTAGGCACGTTATCTTCCATCACCATTAAATGAAATCTATGAATTATTTCCATTTATTACAGCTTATGATTGTTTTATACTTTTATTAAATATATGGAATTATTTAAAACAAAATCAACAATTATTAGCAACAAAATCACAACAACAAAATATTATGCGTGATTCATTACATTTTGATCCAATTAGATTTGTTATACAAAAAAATATTGCAGATGTTGGACATATAGTTGAACATTTTCTTCATTTACAATTACAAACAACTGTATCAATCACATGATAATAAACTATTCATATGTACTCTTTTTCTTTCTCTCTTTGTATATTCAATCCATCCGGTGAATAAGTTCAATAGAAAAATAAACAAGTTTATGCCAGATAGAGCAAATGAATGTTGTCTTTAATTATGACACTATACAGTAGATTGTTTTTATAGGCGGATTGTGTGGTCACCATAGGGTGAAAAAAAAACAATATTAATCTATTTTTTTTTCTGGTTCTATCTCATTAACAAAATGCATGCAATGTGCAGTGCATCAAGTACAAAAAAGAAACAAATAATGATGATCGATGATAATTTGACAATATCATTCTTTTTTTTTGCGATAGCAAACAAAGAAAAATTTGCCATCAACAATTTACTATATATAAATATAGAATTTAAGCAATAATTAAGATAGCATCGAAACAATATAGAGAAGAACTTCTTCGTGTAATGTCAAATAAAATGTGGGTGATTGAAAAATATGAGAATATTATTGTCTAAAGTACCATTGTTTTATAAATAAATATATCATATTGAATCGAAAGAAAAATCTATAATAAGATTTGACAACTTGTTGAAAGCTATTCAGCTATCTACTATCTTACGATATGTCAATAAAAGAGTTCAAGAAAGTATAGAATACGATCAATAATACCAATTATCAATGTCCCTGGTTTAGTCGATATTACTTGATCGATTGAGAAGCTGTCATCACATAGGAATGGAAAATGTCAAAGAAAATGTTATACCATTTTCGTTTATTTCTTATTCTTGTGAAAGATAGATCCCGAAGGCAACAAATCAGTTGAGAATTGTTGATTAGAAACAAACGAGAAAATTTTTATTTTCTATATTTTATCATACCATTCATTTCTTCGTATTTTGAGTACTAAAGAAGGATGAAGTACAATTTCTTTTTTGTATTTTTCCTTATATAAATGATTGATATAAATACACACTCAGACTACCCTAGAAAATTTACTTGTTCGTTTTGATTTTGCAAAACTAATATTTTCTGTATTGAAATAATTATTTTAAGAAAATTTGAGCAGTGTTTTTTTTTTATTTTATAGCAAGACAACAACATATTTTCGTTTTCAAAATTTCTCAGATAAGTAAAACGCATTAATAAAATATTTTTGGAAACTATTTATCAAAAAAAAGAATATTATTGAACCACAATGAAAAAAATATTTATCATATGTCTTTCAGTTATCTTTGTTTTATGATATTTGTTAAACTGTTCAGATGTCAAAAGTTTTCAATAATCATTATGTTCTCTTCCTGAACAATAAAATAAATTTTTCTTTTGCTACAAACTAAACTATTTCTTTTTTTACGTCGTATGGATCGGAAAAGAAAATTCAGTTTATCCATTCAATGTCTCCTATTATTTGCATAACAAAACTAATGACATCTGCTGTTCAAGAATCTTGTCTATTGGTTATTATTCTAAGTTAGCATACAGATTTTCACGTTACGTCAACCGTATTCGCCTTCAGACATATGAATATTGTATAAACAATATTAAACTATATTAAAAATCAAATAGAGTTTCTTTTATTAAAATACTTTTAAATGAAATTAATCAGTCATATGACTCTACAGTCTTCCTGTTTCTATCTTTGTTCATAAAGATATATATGATGATGTAAAACATCTTTCATCATTTATTGACTTTTTTTTTTCTTTCATTTGATTTATTTAGTTGAATTTTATTCCAATTGAATATAAAAATCAAAGAACAAATATTCTTTGTCATCTTTCTTTAAATATTACATCAAAAGCAAATATGGAAATTGAATCATATATATATATATATACGAGTATGTATATAAATACTTATAAATATATTTTGTGATTAACTTTGAACTTCAAGTTTTTTACATTTATGTATATCTTCTTAGATAATTATATTTTTAAAAAAATGAAAAAAAAAAAATAATAATTTCAATACTTCAATTTCATGTAAAGCAAAATGTTTGGTAAGAAATACTTTTCAATGATGCAGAAGAATCTTATATTTAACTACTATACAAGATATTATTGTATGTAGTGAAGCATTAACAACTAAATTAAAAAAGAAACCTTTCACTTTTTTAATATGTTTACTTTTACATCTATTTAGATCTTAATCAAAAAGTGATAAATCTTGTATATGATAATTAAAAAAAGATCATGAGGACATTGAGTATTTAAATATTATGTCAACATGAACAAACATTGGTTTAATTGCTGGAAGTATTGTAATACCTTAAGGGTGCACTATATGTTTGTTTTTTTAATTTTATTTTTTCTATTAATTTATTGATTTGTTCTTTTCAATGAAGCAACTCTATAAAAAAACATATTTTATTTTAGATTTATTTTATTTTCAATAAATATGTTTCGATCATGGTTAAAGTGTTCATCGATTTCTAATCGATTGATACATACAGTTAAAAGACAAGAAAATAGCGAAAAAAAGAAAATTATTGTATTAGGTGCTGGATGGTAAGTTTTAAGCATCTTGATTTATTGTTTATGTAATAATCTTCGATTATTAATTTCTGTAGGGGTGGATTTCAATTTGTTCGATATTTAAATCGAAGCAAATACGATGTTACCTTAGTAAGATTGTGTCTGCTGAGTAAGAAAAAAAAGGAACACAAGTGAATCGTTTTCATAACGATAATTAACGGGAAAAATGATTGAAAAAATGCGGAAGTTAGCACCCTAAAAATCGATTATATCCGATTTCCGGTGATTTTAGGCGGAAACAGAGAAAAGCCTAATTGATGGGATTTCTACGTAATATTTCGGAACGATATAAATACTTTTATCTAATATAATATAATTTAAATCAAAGACACTTTTTTTTTATATTTGACTTGAAAATTATATAAATTAGAAGAATAAAAAAGAGAAAAAAAAAGTTTTTACACTAATGAACATATATTTTCTTCATGAATGATTTTATTCGGAAATTTGTTTCTTCCTTTCATTTATGTCATTTTTTTCTTTTCATATAGAATATAACAAAAATGATTATTTTCTACGGACATGTTGTCTTTTTAGGTTTCACCACGTAATCATTTTCTTTTTACTCCTTTATTACCATCAACAACTGTTGGTACATTAGAATTTCGTTGTATTATTGAACCAGTTCGTACACTATCAAATTTATATTATTATCAAGCTTATTGTGATGAAATTAATTATAAATCAAATCAAATACAGTGTCGAGATTTTTTTAATTCAAGTAAAGGATTTTCGCTTGATTATGATTATCTTGTTTGTTGTCATGGAGCTAATTCAAATACATTTCGTATACCAGGTGTTGAAGAACATGCGTTTTTTCTTAAACAACTTTCTGATGCACGTGCTATACGTAATCGTCTTATGGAATTATTTGAACGAGCATCAAATCGATTTATATCTGAAGAAGAACGAAAAGCATTAACAACATTTGTTATTGTTGGTGGTGGACCAACATCGATTGAATTTAGTGGAGAATTACATGATTTTATTGTAGAAGATGTTGCAAAATGGTTTCCTGATGTTAAAACACGTGTTATTGTTGTTGAAAGTACTGATCATATTTTAGGAACATTTGATTCGAAATTAACAGATTATGCAATGAATATTTTAAAATCACGTTCAGAAATTACACTGAAAACGAAAACATATGTTAAGCGTGTTGGTCAAAATGAAGTTTTACTTAGTAGTGGTGAAACTATTCCTTGTGGAATTACAGTATGGAGTACAGGTAAAAGAATTCTCTAAAAGAAAAAAAAAAGGTTTCTCAAATAGAGATCTATTGCTTCCATGAAGATAAGAAGATCGAAAATTGATATTCATTAAATTCTCTTCTTTTTTTTTTATTTAATATTAATAATTATTTAACAAAAAAACAAAATTCGAGACAGTTCATGTCTAGATAAGATATTTTTTCAAGCACTAACACATTAAAACAAATGATTTAACAGACAATAATACAGAAAACGATTAAATCCCTATATATACAGTAGTGTACAAAAGTATTCCACTCCCATATCTGGACTACTATACATACTATGAATCAGAGAATTTATGTACACATATTCCAGTAAGAATGCAGGTCTGAGGCACGAACTTACCTCGATTATTTAAATGACTTGCACCTATATATACTTTTATCTTCATTACTTTGAAACAGAAGAATTTTGTGAGTCGACTCATGCTTGATTAATTAGTAGGTTGTTCTGATTATTTACCGTGTTAATTTCATTGAAGTTCATCAAACCTTTCTAGAGTTGTAGCCATTTTTCTATAACCACATTCGGAGACCATAACTCAGTAATGGACCAGTGAACCGAGCTGAAACATATACATAAGCTCTGCTTGTAGTTAAAGTTTCATTAAAAAAACCTTCCACTGAATGAAAATGCTATCCGAATAATCATCACATTGACACATAGTACTCAGAAGCAGCATATTTTGACTGATAAAAGAGCATATACTGGGCTCTACTTGCATGCTAAAATATCGACAATTAATCATGTACTTGATAACTGGTAAGAAAAAATTTAGTAGACAGCCTTTTTCAGGTTAAAAGCCTGAAGCAAAGATAGGCTGCTCTCTTCATGGCAATTCTCGTTACATATCAACGATCGGGTTGACCTTGTCTTTCTGAAGTAAATTCTTAGTGTAGTATGTGTACACAAATTTTCACAATTCCAACATGTGTTGAAGCCTAGATGCACGGAATGGAAGACTTCTGTTCACTACTGCGGCTATTACTATTGCCGTCGTTTTTTCGTATTATTAACGAAGAATGACTGGAAAGAAAGAAAATAGTCTAAATATCTCATTGAGTTACGAAACATCACTAATGATTTTGTTAATTAATTCTTAATAATAAACTAAATAAACAAGAGAGTTTTATCAATGTCAAAAGAACAGATTCACATCTGTTAAAAGAATTTCATCTCATGATTTCATAATTATTTTTTTCGTTGTTGGTAATTAACAAAAGTTAAATTAAATTCTAATAAACAATAATATAACAATTTTAGGACTTTCTCCAACTAAATTAACATCAACTTTACAATTTTTGAAAGAAAAACGTTCAGGAAGAATATATACAAATAATCATTTACAAGTATTAGTTGATGATAAAACAACAATTAATAATATGTTTGCGCTCGGTGATTGTGCAACACCAATGGATCAATCATTACCAGCAACAGCACAAGTCGCCGTTCAAGAAGCTAAATATTTAGCACATATATTTAATAAGAAAGAGTTTTATTTAAAAAATTCAAATGAAACTACAATTAATGATTATCCAGTATTTAATTTTAACAATGCAGGTATGTTAGCTTATTTAGGTGGTTATGGTGGTTTAGCAGATTTAAAAAAAGCTAAAACAACTGGGTTTTTATCATGGTTATTATGGCGTTCGGTTTATTTGACACGGCTTGTTAGTTTTAAAAATCGTTTACTTGTGTAAGTCAATTTGTATTATTTATTTATTTAATTGATTTTTTTTTGTTTTTTAGTGCTATGTTTTGGTTCAAATCATTTGTATGTATTAGACTTTTGTTTTGTTTTTCTCAAATGGATGATGATATTCTTTATTTTTTTTTATCTTAGGTATTTGGTCGTGATATTAGTCGATTTTAATAAATGAGCTTTTTATTTATATTTTATACTCTCAAAAAACCTCACATAAATAATAATCTCGTAGAATTATTAGTTTGTATATTTATTCTAGATTAAATATTCTTGGTAAATATTATGTTAAATAAATAAATAATGTTTGTTTATCATATAATATTATCTTTAATCTTCGTTATTCGAAGTATATTAACTAGTCAAATCGATATTGATATACCATCTATTGCAACATCACATATATTTGAAATATCATCAAATATTTCTCAAAATCTTAATCGTGATGTACTCTTTGGACTAGTTGATGGTACATCATCTTCTATACCATCATCAATTCTTGTTCGAGCTTCTTATAAAGAGTTTCATGTAGAACGTTTTTTTAATCTTTATCAATCAAATAATAAAAACTATCAACAACAAATACAAAAAGAACCTATATTTCGTAGTTATTTATTAGCATCATCATTTAATCGATCTTATCCATTTATACGAGTATTAATTGGTTCTGTGCATGGATCATATGAACATATGAATATACAACCGATGTGTGCTATTGTAACAGCAGTTAATGAACAAAATCTATATGAAACACAAGCTTGTTTTATATCACCTCATACAGGTTATTGTTTAGTAACAATATCAGTATTAAAAATGGTTGAATATGTAAATAAAAATCAAACAAAAAATAAAATTGAACTTTATCTTAAAGTAAGAAACAAAGAATAAAAATTTTAATTATGAAATTTATTTTATTTTTCATTTGTTAGCTTCATCATGTTATATCAATAAATGAATGTATTTCTGATCATACACCAAAACAAGATCATATTCATCATGAAACACGTATTGGTCATGTTGAATATATAGATAATGACAATATATTATTTTCTACTATAACTCGTTCATCTATTTCAATTGACTATCCTATTGGTATTCATTATCCTGATTGGTATTTTCCATTAAAACTAAAACTAATTATTTCATCTTCATTTCTATCATCATTTATAATACGTTGTCGTTTACTATCATATTTTTCTATTTATTTAATACAAACTAATATTCTTAAAATTTCAAATTATCATATTCAAATAAATCATAATATTCATCATCGAGAATCATCATCTGATATTGATTTTAGCATAAGAATAAATCAAAGAAATACTACCAATCAAAATGATATATTTGAGATTGATGTAGCAACAATTATGTTAAAAATTAATTCAACAAATTTATATAAAATAAATCAACATAATTCGAATTTTATTTTATTTATTGATTGGTTTATACTATCGAATAGTTCATCTCATAACAATGAACCAATTTTACGAGTTCCTATACATGTACAATATGATGATATTCAAACAATTGTTGCATTAACAGACTTTACAAGTTTAATTAATACAGCCATGTTATCAATGCAAATTCAACAATTTCCATTAACAATTCTTGCAGTTAATTACTCAGGGTACGAAGGTTTTATTCTGAATAAATAATTTATGAGTTTCTTTATAAATTTGTTAAGGTCTATTCAATCCATATCACAAGCAGTATGTCATTCTGAAAATATTTATTTAATTCAAGTTGATTCAACTTGTCATCATATATATTTTTCTGGTCAAGAACGAGATGATTTTTTTGATCATATTAATAGTCCAACATCAATTGTTATTCGTTATGAGAAACATCTTCAACGTTTACATTTTACTATTTATATTCCTGAAAGACCATTACGTATCGAATTAAGTGATACAAAATTATCTCGTATAAATGGATGGTTTGTTACAAAACGAATTGATGGTGATGAACAAAAAAGTCAATCATTGACTGATGATTTCAATGATGAAGATAATGACAATGATGACAATAAAGATGATAATGATGATGACGATGATGATGATGATGATGTAAAATGTTATTCTGTTTATCAACAATCATTTATTTATGTTTATACAAAATTTTATCGAACTACTCAAAGTAACATTTTGTTTTTCATTTATTTAATTTCTATTTGAATTTTTAGATGGTGATCGCATTTATTTATTTAATAAACTTAATGTTCTTATAACACCACTTGTACGTGCACATTTAGAAACCGATAATACACGTGTTGCTATTATTAAAGACGATCGAGTTATTGGTATTGGACCAGGAAAAACAAATATTCGAGTAATTCATAAGAATATACGAAAAAAAAAATTTAATTAAAAAGTTTTTAGATTTATTCTTTTACAAATAAACTTCCAATGGGTTCAAAAGCAATTTATGTTGATGATCAAGAATCAGTAAATATAGAAAATATATCATTTAATCTTCTTACAAATATTGATTTTGAAACAAATTTAATCGAACATATTGATCCAATTTATAAAGTTCATTTTCAAATAAAACCTATTTTTAATCAATTTAATATAGATAATAAAAATCAAGTAAAACTAATTTTTTTTTTTTTTTTTTTCATATTTTAATATTTGATTTCTTTTTATTTCTAGTTTGGTCAAATAAATGTTATATTAACATATTCTGATAATACTTCAATGTCATTAGATGATATACCATCTGATTATTATCAATTTGAAATCGATATGAGTCGTATAAATCCTTTATTAATAAATATCAATACATCAAAATCATGGAAAAATTTACATATTCATTCATTAACTGCTCTTGGTCAAACAACAATTTATAGTCGTCTTAAATTAGGTCAACAACAATGTACAGATGATAGAAGTTTTTCTCAAAATGATCTTTCTTGTGAAATAATTATCGTTTCAAATAATATTCATTCATTTAATAATAATTTACATTCATCATCATATGACAAAACAAATAATTATGTTATATTAAAGAATAATAATAATAATAATAATAATATTGATCATCATACAAAAACATCTCCATTTCTAATAGCATTATCAATTTTATTAGGTACATGTATTGTATTAGTTCTTGTTTTTGCTTTACATTGGTTAGTTAATTTCTATTATCGACAAAAATCAAATAAAAATTCAAGACGACAACGACATTCAACACAGAGTGGTGCTGAAGAAGTTAATCATGATTGGATATTTCTTGATAGAAATTCATTAGAAATGCCAACAAAGCAAACACAACAACAAGAAAATTCACCATCAATACATAATTCAACACTTCATATAACACCAAATCCAATAATTAATACATCAACATTACCACAACAAAAAGATTTATCTGAACTTACACATTTACAAATGATTGCTTATTTTGAGAATCTTAAAGAGTCTCATGCATAGAATATTTGTAATTTCTCGTTTCTTTTTTTGGCATCAACACCGGTGTCATATTTATTTCTAGTCATTAATATATGCAGTGAATTTTCTCTTGATTTAATTATATTGCCAGACAATAGACAGTGAGAGTACATTATCACATTACATATTATATGATCCTGCTCAATTAGTCAAATATATACATGTATCTATTTAAGATATTATTTAGCATTTTATGACAAAAATTTAAAACTAATTTTTTTTTATGTTGTGCTTTTCATACGATTTCTTTTTCTTTTCTTTTTTTTTTGTATTAATATTTTAAGTTAGTTCTTTTTCTCTCTTCCGTGTTCATTATTGGACATACATGACAATTTGTACGTGTCTTATTTTCATCATTTCCTTTTTTTTCGCATAGAAAAAGACGTTGAATACAGACTAATATGTTCTAACAAACTCGAAGAAGACAATAAAATGTCTATTTACGCAATGTATATGTGTTTATTTTGTCTTTGATGAATTAGGTGTAGCTGGTGGATTTTGTTCTTCACCATTTGATCGTTCAGATAGTTGTCCTTTATTAGGTGTTGGAGGAGGTTGTTCTATACTGACTGGTGTTTGTTGAGGTGGATCATATTGAGTACCAATAGAAGGTTTCAATTCATGTTGAAATCGTTCGTAATAATTCGGAGAATTTTGTTCACAAGTATAATATGTTGCATTAGTATTTGATTGTTGATATGAATTAACACTGTATTGTGTATTGATTTGTTGAATCATATCTGGTGGAGCCATTCGACCAACCAATCGAATAGTACCTAAATTTTTAATACCAAAACGACTTAATGGTTCATTAGGATATGGATGTAATTCTTGTCCATGAAAGACAAGATTTTGTAATGCTCGTGGTACACGAAAATCACGTTCAACAACATTCATTAAATCTGTCACAGTTGGTTCGGCACCATTATATGCTGGCACTGATATTTCATGTATATCACCACCAAAATGAAGTTGAAGTTTAACACAAAAAACTCGCGGTTGATACATTACTTATTCTATCAGAAACATGCAAGAATGTAGTAACAATTCGATTCTTCTCGACTTTTATTTCTGTTTGCAAACAAACAAAAAAGTGTTGCTTGACGGTGTTGCTATTGGAGTTAAGAGGTGAAAAAAAAGGAGGGAGAGTAGAGAAAAAGGAGAACAGTATTTATGTTCTTTCTTTTGCCATATAATATTTTATTGTTGGTAGTTATAACAAAAAAAAATGAATGATTGAAAAGTTTTATTTAAAAACAATACAACAATAACAATAACAATAACATTTTATAGATTTATTCCATGTCAGACAGTTGTTCATCTTCACTTAATTCAAGTTCATTGTTTTTATTCTTGTTTAATTTTTGTAATTTCTATAAAAGAATGAAAACAAAAGAAAAGAATTTGTTATCTTGAACATTTTCTTTATATCTATTTCACGAAAAGATCTTCAGAGTAAAAATTGATTATATTTTCACTAGAGTTATTAATACATCGAAACTTGAAAGATAATAATTTTTTGTAAAAAATTAATATCTTTTATAATGAAATTTGAAATTCGAGATTTTTTTGAAAATTGAAGAGTCATTTTTTTCGAAGTAGCTCCTTGTACTCTATCGAATTATGCATAAACAAAAAGTGAAAATAAGGTAGTTTCGAAAACTTTAAGTTACATGCATTTGAAATAAAACAACAGAGTATTCTTACATTATATCTTTGTATTCGTCGTTGTTTTTTTAATTTACTATATTCATTTGCAATTTCATCAATATGTTTTTCATTTTCAGCAAGGTCATTTTCAGCACCAACTATTCGTTCATTTTCTGCTTGTTCCCGACGTAAACGTTTTAAACGATTTTTAAGTTTTTTTTCTTTTTTTATCGAAAATGCAACTATCTATTAAACATGAAAACAAAAACCACAATTAAATTGATTAAAAAAAAAATTCTTTTTTTCTTTACTTTAACACGTTTTTTTATTTTCAAACTTGGATCTTCCTTTTCCATTTGTCGTTTTTTTGCTAAACTTTTATCTCTGTCAAATAAAAAAGAGATGAATATTATTTTCATAGAAAAATTAAAAGTTAAAATATATACTTGTATGGAATAGATTCTGCATTAATTGTTTGATTTTGTTGATTAAACTTTGATGTATCACGATTTTTTAATTCAGGCATTTTTGGTAAATGAACAAGTGCAAAAGCACCTTCAGCAACTCCACATAAATCAAGTTCTTTTAAACGTAAAAGAAGTGAACATTCATGCTTAACATAAGCTTGAACATAAGAAACAAACGCTTGTTTCGATCGATCATAAATAGCTCTATTAAAATTACATAAGTATTTAATAGGTATACTACGCTCGAAATTCTCTACAATCTTGTGCATTTGATTTTAGACTTACATTGAATTGCTGAGAAATATTCCGACTGCAGTGAACACACACTCGTCTTCAGATTTTTACAATCTACTTTCCTACGACTTGTTGATTTTGATTACAATGGCAATAATACCTTTTTAGAAAAAAGTAATTTTAAATTCGGATTGTGCATTCAATTCTCTAACATTCTCTACTCTGCCAACGTCGACTTACTATTATTTGCTGGTAAATATATCAAGTCTTTTTTTTTTATTGTACTTATATTCCTAGAAAGTGTATTTTTATATGCCTTCAAGTAAGTGTAGTACGTGTTTTTTTTTGTATAATGGTTATACAATCTTGCACGCTATAGTAATGAGATTATGATCGACATGTAAATAATCACTCATACAAGTTATGTGGTTACTAGATAACAAAAAAAAATACGCTGCGGGTGTCTCTGATAATGCGAGAGTGTGGGTACAATAAAAAAAAACATTTAATATAACTAGCGGCGCAGATTAGATTATCATTTTCTTTTTTGGATCTATCCGTTATACTTTCATAAATTCATTCTAGACTCATTCGATTGAGAATTTTTTGCTTGTTTTTTAAAGAAGCTTTTTTTTGTTGGAGTAAAATTAAAAGTACGAACGTCTGCTCAATCATTTAACTGAAATTTTTAATTATCTGCAGATATCAATCAATTTGTATCAGTATCTGTTCATGAAGGTTAATTGAAAAAGTAATGCCGTTAAAATCAATGGATAGAGAATTTGAACTGGTCACTTCTACAACTTTTTCAAAGTTTTTGATGGTATCGTTCATGAGAAAAAAGCTTGGATCTAAAACCTACTGATCTTTTTCCACACATGTAGGAAAAATCATGCTTTTCAAAGCTAGACTTAGTGTATGAAACTCGGATGTAGAATTTAATTCTGAACAAAATGTTTTGATTGCTATGTTGAAGGGAATAAACGATTAGATTGTATCGAAATAAAAAAAAGAATATTCATTATAATCCTGTCTGACAAGGCTCTCTTTGTAATATTTTTCCAGTTTTTACTTCGTGATTATTCTCATAAATGTTTCTTCTGAAATTCTGAAATATATATCAAAAGATGCAAAATTTAATGGCACGCTTGCCATTTCAAATAATCGTCCTTGCAAAAAAATTTACAGAATTGCTTTCTTTTTGCTTTGACCATCGTAGTCTGGCAGCTGAGTATGTTTTAATATGTCAAATTTTGCTCCAAAAAACACAAACTTACTTGAAAACAAATATAACAGTTTTGTGAAGCAAGCAATTCTGTCGGATAACTTTCTGAGAGTGTATCTCAGTGTCAAAAAAGAAATAAAGAAAATAGTATTGCTCCGTTTAATTTGTGCTACTCGTTACTTGGCAATAAATAATTGTAAGTCAATACTTGCAAGATAGATCACTATTAGAGAGTTTAGTACACTATCCGAAGTTATAATTACATTTTTCTAAAACAATTTTACTGTAATTTTAATCAACACCAAGAAATTCAAAAGAAAGTAGGTGATAGAAATCTAAAGATACAGAGTAGGTACACGATAGTCGGAATATATTTCAGCAATTCAATATAGGTTTAAAACCAAATACATAGGATTGTTAAATCAGAATATATATATATATATATTCATTTTTGTTTTTTAATAATTCTTACTTATCACTAGTTGCCAATTGTCGTACAATTGGTACAACATTTTCAATAGTTTTCATATCAGCTGTTATCATTTCCCTTAATGGTACTTTTTGACTATTAAGAATAAAATTCACATATGCAGCTTCATTTGGTAGAAGCATTAAAAGTGCATTTCCAAGTCTACCAAGACGAGCTGTTCGACCACAACTAAAATGAAATTAATAAATTATATTGAAAACTTGTTGATCTTTACCGATGAACAAATTGTACAACTGTTGTTGGTGGATCAAATTGAATAACCCAATCAACATCAGGTAAATCAATACCACGCGCAACAATATCTGTACATAAAAGAATGTTTGTTGTTGCTGTTGATATTTCCGAACGAAATTGTTCAATAACAGTGGAACGTTTATTACGTAGTTTTCGATGTATCAAGTAAATTTTTGTTGATTTTGATGAACGAAAAAGATATTTAAGTATACTTGCAAAATATTGTACACAAGCACATGTAGAAAAAAATATCATTATCTTAGCTGGACGTTGTTCATTGATAAAATGAATTAATTGACTTAATTTTTCATTTGGTTCACAAATCTAATTAAAAATAAGCAAAGAAAAGAATAGGAACTCTGCTTTTTTTTGGTTCTTATTAATAATATTGTAAAAGATGAAATTACCATATAAAAATTTTTTAATGTTGATGGTGTACGTTGATCAGCAGCTGAACCAGTTTGTTTAACAGTTATTCGAACAGGATTTCGAAGACCAGCGCGAATCAGTTTTTCTAATTCATCGGTTTGAGTTGCAGAAAATAAACCGGTTCGTCTTTGTTTAGGAAGAGCATCAAAAATGGTATTTAGACTAGAAAAAAAAGTCATTTAAATGCTAATATATACGAAAGTCATTAAAAAAAACTATTAGATAAGATACACATAGAGTAAAACCTCCCTATTGTGGACATACTTCGGACTTTTTAAAAGTGTCCACTATAGGGAGTAAGATAATAGGCTGCAGAACACCTTGTTAATTCTCTTTTTATGTGTTGAAAGTTTTGAGATAGAAAATTGATCAATGCTTTTGTTTGATACCTTTGTTCGACTTGAGACAAAGTCAAAGAATTCTCAGTGATGAAAAAATTCAGTGACATCACTTTTTAGCAAAATTATACTTGTCCAGCATTTTTATTTTCCTATTGATTCCTCTCCAAATCGATAACATTCCATACTCTAACTGGTCTAGTTGACAGGACACATCAAAAACTGGGGGGGGGCGGGGCGCCGGGGCCGGCGGGGGGGCGGGGGCCGGCGGGGGCGGGGGCGGGGGGGGGGGGGGGGGCGTCGCGGGCCGGCGCTCGCACGCCGGCCCCCACTGGCGGCCAGGCCCACGCCCACACCGACGCCCACACCCACGCCCACACCCACGCCCACA